TTTACCAGTCATTCTTATTATAGAAGACAGTATATATATCACAAAGAACTTTAATCAAAACTAGCTATATAAACTGGCCGCTGCCTCCTGCTCCGCGGCGGCTGCCCAGGGCTGGGGGCCTGGAGAGCCAGTGTCAGGAGCTTGTTGTTTCTAGTACATTCGCTGCACGCAGGCTGGGCCCTTCCTGCTCCCCCCGCTGCTGGGAGCACGCGCCCGCGTGTGTGATTGTGTGTGTGTGTGTGCACCTGTGTGTGTTGTGTGTGTGTGCCTGTGTACATGCATGCACCTGTATGGGTATGTGTGCATGCATGTGTGTGCACCTGTGTGTGAGGGGTGTGTGCATGCATGTGTGTGTGTGTGTGTGTGCACCTGTATGGGGTGTGTGTGCCTGTGTGTGTGCGTATGTGTGCGTATGTGTGTGTGCCTCTTTCTCCCTCCCCCTTCCTCTCTGAGATCAATAAAAATATATATTTTTAAAAACCTAGAGGGTTGATGATGTTCAGGACCAAGCTGCTCTTTTCTATCTAGGGAAGCGGTTGACACGGCCCAGAATTTCCAGTGCAGATGGAATGGCTAACCCCCCTCCCCCAATAATATCTTCTTCCAGGGATGTCCAGACGGCTAACACGCCCCTGAACAGATTCACACTCGCGCCCTGCGATCGGCCAGCACACACCTGGCCTAGCCGCCGGTGCTCCTGTCCCACCTGTAAACAGGGGGGACACACCGCGCTCTGCGCACTGAGCCGCGCTGTGAGGCGGGCGCCGTCTGTGTCCGTCGTGAAGGAGAGGACCCCGAGGTCCAGAGGAGGTGGGCGGCGAGCCACGGGCACACAGCCAGGCCCCGGAGCGCGGGCGGCTGCCCCCGCTGATGCTTCCAACAGCAAGTCGCGCCCTTGACCTCGGACAGTTTGGTGTCGGTTAACGTCGGTAAACTGTTCAACAATTCGGCTCCTTTTCTGGGTTTCAGTCCAATCTTTGCAGGAGTCACTAAAGGCTGATCCGGGCTCCAGCTGTGCCCACATCCTCTGCCACCGCCAGCTCCCCTGACACTGACCTCAGCAAATCCACGTGCTAAAGGCCGGGGGGGGG